AAATTTTTTGGCCCTATCAAAATACTTGAAAATGTAATACAAAGTTCCTCATAAGTCATTCTTATAGTGATTAAAAAATTATATGAATACATAGGCATAATTTTTTTATTAGCATTTGAAGTTCAAATATTGACAAAAATTCGTCAAAACCATGAATATTTGCAAATTATTTTGTAGTTTAAAATTTATAAAATTGTTTGTATTTATATCTAAGGATAAAAAATTCAACACTAAGTTTTCCATAAGTTTTTCTTCAAATAGCTATAGAGAAAATTTGAAGCGTCATTATAGGAAAAATGTTTTTAGCGTTTGAGTTTTAAATTTTTATGAAATCACGTAATGATAACGATTTATCTTCGAACCAGGTATATGTATATCTATGATAATATAAGGTATTATGAATTATGATAACTACATGCAATGTTTTTGGAAAAATTGATTAACTATGCCCAAATCTAACCTACCCTAGTCAGAGATCCACCCCACCACCTAATGYACAGCAGAGCGACATCCACATACCCGCTTTTTAGTATTTTAATTTATAATTTCAAATATGCAAAATRGTTTTTGTACGTTTATCAAGGAAAATTATTTCAATATTTTTCTTTTCTATATACCTAATTAATGGCTATCTTCATACAAATGTAAGCATACCACGTTTTATTATTACCGAAACGTAAAATGTCTAATGTTACTAAATTATTTGAAAATAATTTAATCTTTGTTTCAAACCAGTATTTTGTGATTAATTTGAAAATTTGAATATTTAGTACAAGATTTTTCCCATAAGCTTAACCATTTAACAAAAAAAAGTTTACCGGAAAATCAAATGAATTTATGTGACCGGATGAAGTTAGATTATGGAAATTCACCCATAAATTAACAAAATCTGATTCAAAAAATCTATAAAATATAATAAAAGCACGGTTTTTTTTATTAACGTTTTATATTCAAATTTGGACGAAATTATTGATATTTGAACTAAGAATAACAATTTTAGTTATTTTGTTGTAACTAAAAATATTATTCATGAGTACTTGACATTTTTAAAGTAATTTTAATATTTTATGCACATAACAACATTTTCAAAGGTAATGTTTTCTTTTTAAGCATTAATTTAAATTACTGTACCTAGTACTAATCTCTATATTAGAATTTTTAGTACCTATATAAGATAAATTACTTCAATCACAATAATATCATAAAATATATTAACCAATATATCATACCGACAAACGACTTTCGGTCAGAATCGGTTTTGTGTCTTTACAACGATTTTGTATTACTATAGAATTTAAATTTAACCACCCGTTATAGCGATCCTCCACACAGCAGCTAATGTACAGTAGAGATAGGTATACACTTTCCAAGATACCTACACTAGTAATCTACTATACAGCAGAACACACACACCCACACAAACACAAACCCACACACACACAACATACATTATTGTGAAATCAATTAATTTATTAGTTCATCAATTCATATAGAATCTAAAATAATACCAAATTATTATACTTATTATAAAAATGTGTATTGATTTTTCTAACAAACAAAAACTGGGAAACTATGGATCTCTGAAATATTTTTTTCTTCTTTTATTATGTTCAGAAAGTCTGCAATCGACCAATTAGTGTATCATTAGTGACTTTCCTTCATTTTAATATTCCGTTATTGAAAATTTGAAAACAATTAATGAATTTATGTATTTTAAATTTTGTTCACTTACAATATGTGTGATGTTTTAATGCTACCCATGACGCTTGTTTCTATCTTCATTTGTTTCGCTCATATTTCTGAATAAAACATTATAGATAAGTATCTATACCTTGTACCAAATAAGAGCGCACCGGGCGGCCACAGGCAAAACCGGTTTTGTTACGTAAATTTGGTGCGCTCTTAT